AACTGCGAGTGACACGAACTGAATGTGAATAAGAATCAACAGACAAGCATATATGTATGTTTATTTGTACTACATATGTAGAATTCTATGTCTGTATGTATGCATACGTGTATGGTGAAATCAACAATCGTATGAACAGTTAATAGCAATTAAGAGCACAAGTCAACAATTTTCTTCAATAATTTAATAAAAATGTCACCGCAACAATTGACCGCAGCGCAGTGGCACACACGAATCCACCAACAGACAGACAGACACACACGTACATCCCAAGCAATATGTAGCGTTTACAATATAGACGAACGAACAAATGCAGAGCGGAGAAGTATGAGTCTGTCGCTGCTGACATGCGCCCATTAAAACGCTGAGCCGTGTGCTCGTGCTCCATATCTCGCTTGCGTTGGGCGCACAGTCATAGCCAACTGATCGCGCAGCAATAAGAGTGAACTAGACGAGCGAATATTCAAACTTGTCTCTACATTCTATGCCAACTAAGACTGTGGTGTTACATATCTAAATATATAAATGCAGTTGGATGTGCCAGTGGCAGTAAATATAGTGCTTCTACTGCTCATTTGTGCCATAAATTGTTGACATGAGCCTGAATATGCTCACTGCAAATTTTTATCGAGTCTTTTGTTGCGGCTGTTTGCATCATGACAATGTTTTTTTTCATATCTAACTCACGTGTTAGATGTACCACAGTTAGCGTGTCTAGAAAGAAGAACGAATTGCGCTCGAGCTTGCTATTATGTTATGCTCTAGGCTTCCAATAACGTACTTTCAATATAATTGAGATGTCAAGTTGGTCTAAGCTGGACTCTTACTAGTGCTTTGTATGAAGGCAAAATTATCTGCATGAAATTTAAAAGCGATATACTGACCTACAGTAGATATAAAGGTAACAATCTAATTTAGAGAACATTTATCTGAAAAATCAGAAATCAACACCTGAAGAGTGAGTTTTCTTTCGTACAAATGTCAGTACCTTTATATGCCTAAAAATGGAGTTATATGTACATGAATAAAATCGCTCGAAATTGTTATATGAAACACCATAGTTCTGGTATCATTTCTAAATTCATTTCGAAAAGAGAAGGACAACTTGAAGACTCAGATTATGTAATAAAATGGCCTTCACTCTTATATAAAAGCTTTAAATATAGATGATCTGTCGTGGTCTTTGATCTTTTATAACCACTAAGTATAATTTTTGAAAAAAATAAATATTATTCCTGATGGACTCTTATTCACCTCACAACTCGAAGATAATTGAAAGACAATAGATGACAGCAGATCTGAAGTAGGAGAACGAATATCACATCGAAATAACCAAGGAAACCTAAGTTTACCTTTCGTAGAAAGTAATATCTCCAAAGCACTAGGTACTTCATTGATCTTTACACATTTGTAGAATATAATATAATTTCAAGATCCCTACCGTTGAAGATCCAGAGTTCCTGAAAGTTCAAGTTGAGACCTTCAAACAAAATACCAGATACTTGATTGACCTATTTACATTTGTCTAATATAATTCCAAGAGCCATATCGGTGAAGATCCAGAGTTCTTGAAAGTTCAACGCTATGATTTCAGACCTTCAAAATCGTTTTTTTATGCTTTTAGAGAGATATTTGCATTTTAAAGACATCATAACCTAACTTACTTATGAAAACTAGAAAGAAGAATGGCAATATTTTGCAGAACCCAGAAGTTTAATTTGTTACAACCCTCACCTATGCTATCTCTTTAATTAAAAAAAAAAAAATACAAGCATAATTTTTTACATACGAGTACACATGAATCCAGTGTGTACCCAATATACAACTGTCATATAACAATAAATTCAATTTTAATTTCAACGACATGTAAAACATAAATATTCGCACCATCTTCAACGCCAGCTTCGCCATTGCGGACATAGCCGTTTTCAATTTGGCATAATTCAGCTAAAGAAATGAGCATTCCGAAAGAGAGGGAGTGCAGCAGGATTGCAAAACCCGAGTGGAGTTGTACAACAAAGTAGTTTATGAATGCCGTAGATGCAGCATCCATACAAAGATATGAGGCAATGACAAATTTTTAATATGAAGACATAACATATTTACGATACGAACGCCAAAATCAGCTAGATGCACACCCAACTGCAAGTACTACGTCTGGGCACAAGCTACCAGAAGCTACAGCAGCTACGCAGAGCGGCAACAATGGACAGCAGCAGGAATTATTATCAAACATGTGAATCAACTAGCCACAAATTTTTCACACAACCACATAAGCACTTAACGCAGAAATAAAAGTAAAATAATATATATTATTTATATTCAAATGAAGAACTGCGTACCCTGCAGAGAATTTCTATACCTCATCCACTGATTGATGAGTTGTAAGTTCAGTTGAAATGAACTGATTACCATTAATGGTACCCATTTAATTTTTAAATAATCCAAAGAACATTCAACGCAAGTGCCCGTGTTTCATCATTATATAGGTATTTGTTTATTTGCAGCGCGAAAAAACAGAGATTTTATAAGGTTAATTTTTACATACATACCCTAAAATGACTTGGTATTGATCCAATGCCATAAAGTTTAAAATAGAAATTGGTGTAACATTAGGTTCAGTTCGCTCTTTAGACTCTACGTAGATTTTGAGCAACAAATTTTCGACTGGTGAACAATTCAAACATTTTGAGCTCATTTTTGGAGCGCCATTCGCAAGATTATTGGACAGTTTCGACGTCATATTCATAAACCCACGTTTCGTCATCAGTAATAATGTGTTTGATGAGTAAAGGGTCTTCTGCTACATTGTCAAGCTTATCTTTTCCGGTGTCTACTCAACAACGTTTTTGCAAAAGATTCATGTATTTTGATATGAGTCTAATTAACCAAAATGTGTTGGGTTGATTCATAAGAGATTTTGAGATCCTCTACTATCTCTCTGATGACAAATCGACAATTTTCAAGCACTGATTCTTTAACTATAGACGATTCGCATAAGGCAAGTTTTCTATGACTTTACGACCTTAACCAAAATCTTTGTGCTAATCAAATACTTGTGTTCGTGATAAAGCAAACTCCCTAAAACACTTCTGACACATTTCCAACGATTCCATTCCATAGTCGTGATTCCATTGCAAATACAAAATTACAAGCAAATTCGTCGTTCAATTTTTTTTAAGTTAAGTTGATTAGTATTTTTGAAATTTGATCATTTCCAATTGATTTTGTTCGTTTTTAAAACAAATTAAAGTTATTTAAGTCAAGTTAAAATTATACGGAAGGTTTTTGAACGTTATATATTTTACCTATTCCCGGATATAAACCTGTAATAATATCTAACGAGTTTTTAGGTGGAGGAGATTTATACCAAAACTTAGCTTTACTCTTAAAAATCTTCAAATGCTTCCCTTAAATCATCCCAGATGCTACTAGTAAAAGTTACATACGTTTTTCCTACCGGGTATTTTTGTTTGTTTGCACATTAGTATGAAAATAAATTTATGTTACATAAGCACCTGGATTCTTGTGTCTGTTTTGCGCTTGCCTCATCTTCAGCGCATCCTTTGGCGTGAACCATACTCAGGCATTTCACTAACATAAAAGCGCGCTTGTTCGCGGTAGCATTTCGCTGCTGCCTGGTGCCTTGTGTGAGCCAATTTTTACACCGCTGGTGTCCATTGTTGTCCATTGGAGGATGTAAATTGAAAAGTACTTTCTTGCATGTATGTATGTATGTACAATATATCTACAAATCAAATATTATTCTTTGGTCTTGAATGAGTGAATTTATGATTGTGTTGTGTTCGATTTAGTAGTGACAGCTCATAAAGTTACATTTATTTATATAAATTGATTTGTTTTTTTTTTTAATTTGATTTTAAATTGTTGATTTTACATTGTGTATACCCGTAAGTTGTAACGAACTAATAAAAATAAGAAGTCCATAACCGTAAACTCATCTTTTCCGTCGACTTTTTAGTTGCGACTTAGAAGAATTATATTTGAGAGGTTATAGCTTGATCTAAAACCGGTCCAAACATAAATAGTTATAAAAAGATACCCAACTCATTCCGACATTTTGCATTGTAGCCAGATCAGACAAAATTGTAATTTTGGCTCATCATCATGTATTACGATTAAAATGATTATGTATTTAATTTATTGTATAAAATTTTTTTGTGATTTTTTGGCATATTAAAGCGGCCAAAATTTGAACTGTCAATATAAATAAACTGAATTCAATCTGTCAACTGTCAACCTGGACGTTCCAGTCTTTGCAATTGCTAAACGTCAAACCTACACGACTCAACCTGTCAAAGTCGGGTAGGTGCCAAGTCACATCTACCGAAACTCCAATACATTGAAAGAATTAGCACGGAATCTAACATACGCACCGTGCAACTCATATGACCCAAAGGATGAACGATCACACGTTTAACAAAAACCTTTGGTAGCGCTGTTGGATAATTAACCGGTGATTTAATCGATAGCTGCCTAGCAGGGTGATTTAAACTCTCAATTTAAAGCCGATCGAGTAAAAATATTTTCTATCGAATTTTTAAAATTATGAGAAGTTAAGAGTTTTCTATCTGCTTCTTTTTTGAATTTTGAGTTTCTCTGAAATCAGCTGATCGTAATTCATATAAAAATCACTTGACAGAGATTAAAATGGTTATGTTTCTTAATACAGATCAACTCAACGCGTCAAATTCGGTTATTAAACCTAGAAAATAAGAAAAATCAATAATATTCTCGAGTTTACCACATCAATAATTAAATTCGATTTTTTCATGTCATTTGGATAAACGACTCAGGCAGATGATGGTCTTTGGTCTTTGTGTTAACTCTAAAATATTGAGCAAATTACTTTATGTTAAATATTAGCAAAAAAATATATTTTTATGAGTTTAGGTCTTATATTAATAAAAAAATTTAAAATTATTAAAAATATGGTACTTATTCTAACACAAATTTTCATATTTTTTATTTATTCACAGATTTAATATGGTTTAAAACATCGTTAAAAACCAGAACAAGACCAAAAACCGACAAAGCTCTCTCTCACTAACTACTTACACTTTGAAACGTGAAATACGAATCTACCTTTCCTTAATAAAACAACAACAAAAACAAAAAGCACTTATCAGAACTCCTATTTAGAGTCTAATAACAAAAAAAAAAAAAAAAAATCAAAGAGCAACACACAACAAAATGGTGTTGGTATTGAACGGTGTCTTACAGGACGATTGTCCAATGGACACAAACAGTCTCTTCTTACAGCATCCCGTTTACAGAGATTATGCCCAACAACTACTCTCCATACCAAGAAAGTCGGTGGGCCCAGTGGGTCTGCTCTATGTTGGCCAACGTGAAATGGCCGCTGCTGCGCCGCACGACAAGAACATCAACATTATTGGCGCCGACGATGCCACAACGTGCATTATTGTTGTGGTCAGGCATTCAGGTAATAATACACACATGCATACATACATACAAGTTTTATGCTTTCGTTCAAATTGGCTTCATTTTACTCAAGATGAAAGATGCCCAGTTCCGTTTCCTTTATCAGCTACTACTTTTCTTGCATTTTTACTTAGGAGTAGCATTTGTGTTTGTAACAAAAGTATTTCTTATGCTGACGCCATCATTAATCCTTTAACATCTTGTACCTTTTTGTTGCATAGGTTCAGGCGCTGTGGCTTTGGCGCACTTCGATGGCAACGGTATAGACGAGGCTGTCTGCACAATGGTTGCACGCGTCCAAGAGTTGGCCATAGGTTATCCAGAGGGACGTATTGAGTTGCAATTAATTGGTGGCTACCGAGATCCACAAGGATACGGCGAGGAGGTTTTCTACAGCATAATGCGTAAGTAGACGGAATTTGTTATAAAGAAAGCATGTATTGTTTATTTACATACATACATATTGATATATAAAATATCTTACATTATTTGAACTAAGAACTGCATCTCTATAAGCTTAGACGGACACAGTTTTTAGTGAATATATTTCAACGAATGTATGTATGTGTTCAAAGAAAGCCTTGAAGACATTTAAGTAAACAGATATTTTATAACAGTTTTTAGTCATTGAAAAAATATATGAATGTTATACCTTGCCTAAGGTATCTCTTTGCAAACAAAAACATACCATCTGAACAAATATGACCCGGACTGGATCGGGACTCGGTTATGAAGATATTTCTATTATGAACCACAACTTTGTGATAGTTGCTGACGTTATAGTGTTTACTTAAACACTCTTTAGTGGTGGTTTTGAGGTTAGGTCCGATCCGGTTTAACAGTACATCTTCGATCAGAAAGTTCTAATGATATTTTTTGTGGGAAGTTTTTACGAGAATTCTTTGCTTACAAGGCATTCTTTTAAATTTAGAGCAAATACTTGGTAAATATAATATCAACCTGCTAACGGAAATGCGATTGGGCAAGGACTACCTCAGTTTTAGGAAAAACTCTACCTCATCATCAACAATGGCTGTTTAGAGGCCATTTAGAACATAATTCACGAGGAGTGTTGTTTAAATGGGGACATTACCTCTTTGGGTAAATGGAGTACGGCAGACAACAGCGATGTATTTTAATTTTTTTTTTTTTTTTGGAATTAATCTAAAGCCTGTAGGTGAAGTTATGTATATATATTATATATAATCGATACATAAATTCGGTAATATAATACTGTTTTTTTTATTAATATTTTCATATGTACATATGTATACCTTATATTTTTAATATATAATATAATATTTAAATTTTATTTATATTTTTAATCGAGCAATGAACATATTTTTCATAATAAACTACATATATTTTATTATTTTTCTCTTCACGGTAGAATCATTCCATAAACATCATCTCGAAATCGATTTGACTCAAGCCTGCGTCGGTGAGCTAAACACCATACTGCGTGGCGATATCAACTACCCAATCATATATGGTGTTGGTGTTAACATAAAAACCGGTGAAATATTCCCAGCAACTTTTCTAGATCGAGGACCGGACAGACAATTGCGTGATGCTCGCAATTTCATGGGCGCACAATCGGTAAATATAATATATTATACGAGTATAAAGAAAAAATATAAAATATTTGGAGATTTGAATAAATTATATCATTATTGATATAACTATATGTTATGGGGTTTATTTTAACAATATTTTATTTACTGCATGCATAAAAATATTATTTTAATCAAATAAGTTATGTTAGTTTGTTAATAACTAAATTTTTTTTTATTTAATTTTATTAATATAATTTTTTTGTTTTGCTAAAAAATTGTTTATTTATGTTTTTAGTAAACTAAAAAGAAGATAGCCAACTAATTTTTTATCGTCCAAAATTTTAAAAATTAAACTATCTCATTTAATTAAATCATCTCTATTTTAGTTACATACATATACATATGTACTTATTTGTTCTATATTCTGTATAACTTTGCATTCTACTCTACCCTTACAGGTCTTGGACATTTACGACTCCTCATTGGGCATGTTGCGTATCGGGCCCTTCAATTATGATCCATTGCGCGGTGTTGATTTGTGGCTATCGCAGACAGATGAATTCCTCTTGCAACACCTCTCAACGAGTCCGGACGTGGAGCCGCCACACTTCACAATGCAGGTAAGCGCCATCAATCGCTAGAAAAGTGGAATATAATAGTTTCTTCTTCTTCTTCTGCTTGCTGACAGATACGCGCAACAATAAAATTCATACAGGATAATCAATTCCCGGCAATCACCGTGTTTCGGGACAATCGGCCTCGCTACTATCAGCGCGACGAGTCTACGGGCTGCTGGACTTTGGTTAGATATAATTACGAATATAAATAAACACACAAACATACATAGAAACAATACGTGCTCGCATATTTGCATAGTTTGCGCTTGAAGCGAAAATTCACTTAAGTGTTATTAAACTGCGTTTTTACTTTGTTGTTTTAATTGTTCGCTAGCTGCTGCGTTCACTTTGTTGCTACTGTGTACTTTTGTACTCGTATGTAAATTATATTTTTTGTATTTTTGCCTTTATTATGAATAATTTATGTTTTATTTTTAACTGCTCGAGTTTTTTCTCTTTTTTGTTCTGCTTCACTTTTGTATTTCAATGTTTTCAATCACGTTACTTCAGTGTAGGCACTAATTGCATTTTGTTTTTGTTTTTAAATTTTTTTTTTGTTTTTGCTTACTATTACTTTTAAGCTTTCTTTGTTAAATGTAAAATGTGTTGTATTATGTTATCTTATTTCGCAACTTTGGGGGCAGTTTTGCAATTGAAAATTTTTCTATTTGCCGCGAAAGCAGCAGAAGACGCATACATACATACGTATATGTATGTAAATGTGTATGTGAAGTTAAGAGCTTAGCATATTTATACGATTTTAGAACATATGCATATAGTAGCTAAACGTAATATTAAAAAGTAGAAACTTTTGTGAGTCTAAATTTCGAATTATATTGAAGGCGTAACTGTATATAGATATTTAAGCTAGAACATTAGTATGAATTTGATATTGATTCTCTTTTTTAACACTTAAGTGCTGTAGTCTATATAAACTATGTTATTGTAACCGATTGCTGAGTCTATAAGACTTTATATATATATTCGTTTTTGTTTTGTGTGAGAATAAAGTAATAGAAAATAATAAATTTTTAATTGAAATTCAAGTTCAAGAGTAGTATAAAAAATTAAAATCACATGAATAATAAAATAAAATAAAGTATGATATGCTAAAAATAATTGAAGAAATACTAATAGTAGATTAATTAAATATTATAGTAAAGCACGTAAATAATTAAAAATAATACTTAAAAATTATAATGAATAGCATAAATTTACAATAAAAAGTAATAAAAATATAATTTAACTGAATAAATAAAAATTATGTAGAATATTTAAAAAATATATAGCAAAATAATAGTTATAAAAATTTTAAATCTATTACTATAATTAATAAATATAAAAATAATAATTTCAAATACTAAAAAATATTAAGTAAATATTTAAAATTGAAAAATAAACTTTAAGTAAAAATATGTAGAAAATAAAATATAAAATTATATAAATAATAATTATTTTAAAATAAATATGACCATGACATAAAAAAAGTTGAACGCGATCTAACGTGCATAATATAATATGTTAATTTAAAACCGTATTTCATGTGTTAAAGTTCGCTTTAACACAAAATAGGCTGTCCTAATGTGATTATAACCAATTTTCGCCACCAAAATTTTGTATACTCGTAAACATTGTTGTATTCCTTTCAACGCTTCCTAATAATTTTCCTTAATTTAAATAAGTTTTTGAAGTTAGATAATACTTTGAAATAATATAAGTATGAGCACTTTTTTCCTAAGTACAGCCGTTACTTAGATATAATGATTCAAAAAGTTATAAAAAACGCGCCAAGTACACTACTTCATAGGAGACGTATATATTTTCATATATACCTACAATTACATTCCACATTTCCAAAATAATTTAAATTTTTATTTAAAAAATTGATTGGGTTAACATTAATTAAGGAAAAAATTCTCAGAAACGCTGACCTTTTTACCATGTTATTTTTAATTATGTTTTAAACAAATTTAAGAACTTTCAGCTTGTTTTAAGTTTATGTAACTTCCTCTTATTTTCGATTTAATTTGACCAGACTAAAATTAAACATATTTTCTTATACAATTACATTTCGCATTTACAAAATAAACAAAATTTTTATTTAAAAAATTAATTTAATTAAAATTAATTAAAGAAAAAAATTATATTAATATGTATATACATATAACAAAATTAAAATAAAAAACATCTTGGTGATATGCAGATTCGCTTGAGAGCATTAAAAATATATTAGATAATTACTAAAAATATATTTACCACACATTTTTGTGAATTTAGACTTATAAGCTTTGCCTTGCTATTGTGTTCTTACACACACATACATACATATACTTAAACAACTAAATTTTAGTTGTTAAAACGCATTCAATGTACTTTCTTTGCTTTTTTTGTTGTGTATAAGTATCCAGCTTTTACATATCTTTTTGTAAATATATACGTAGTATAAAACTAACAATTCTTCAATTCTTATTTGTTCTCTTCCTGCTCTTCCGCTGACTTAACTACTATCTTCTACTTAACTTCTATATATATAAATGTATTTTATTTCTTATTCTAGGTTAATGATTGAGGCAAGACAGCATAAAAATATAAAAATAAAAATAAACAAATTTTGTTTTGCTAGTTTACGCAAGTAATAATTAAAACAAGCCTTGAAGCAAATTAATAAAAAAAAATGTTTTAATAAAATTTTGTGAAGTTAGTTAAATATTTTGTGAAATATATGTATGTTATATAATAGCAGCTAATAAATACATGCATACAATAAAAATGTTGAAAACATTACGTGCTCGACAACTTAGTAATATTATTATTATTGCTATTGTTTGTGCGCTCGATGTAAACGCTGATTTATTTAAAGTTTATGCATAATAACGCTATTAAATAAAGTGAATATTGTAATAAAAAAGTGATTAATGAAAGATATTAAAAGTTATAACTGTATACAGGCAGACAAATATACACTTATTTGTATGCAGCACATAAACAGAACACAACATGTACATTCATAAGTACATATAATGTACATATTTGAAAAACAAATAAATATATGTATTTGAATATATCGACTATAGTTAATTATGTATACCAACGCCACAATTACGAATGATCAATTAAAAACGACTTCACTATTGTACACATATACCTACACATATGTACATGCATATATGGATTAAAAATGAAAACAATAAAAATATTAATAAAAAGAAATTCAAAATATTTTATTATAATTTTTTTAAACTGTCTATAGATAATGATGATATTTTAGGTGATTTTGGCTAGGCATATAAACTATGAAATAAATAGCAGTTATTATATTTTAAAACATCCGTTTGCTGTGGAGAGTACTATGCACAAGTGTCATAGAAACAAACAAAACAAGAAAAATCGTCAACTTTGGTTGCACCGAAGCTAGAATATCCTTCACACGTAAAAAAGTTTCCACACAAGAACTTGATTTTGATCGATATGTTTGTATGGCAGCTATATGCTACAGTGATCCGATCGGAAATTTTTTTTTGGATATTGTAGCATTGCCTAGGACAATAACCCATTCGAAATTTCGTGAAGATATCTAATCTTATAACTTTCAGCTAAGCTTCTCCTAGATATCCAGCTTCAAACATCAATTAAACAAATATAATAATAACAGATCATTTTTACAGAGCAGTAAATTTTCTACACAGCTATGAGTTTTGCAATTTAAATGATTTTTTACCGTTGAATTATAAAATTCATAAAAAAATTGCTTATGAACATAAAAATCGAAAGAAAAAAATTATAATACATGCTATAGTGGTACTATATCGGCGGTTGCTACAGATTAGCAGTTTTTTGGGGAGGGGAGAGAAAGATGTGTGCAAAATTTCAGATCAATATCTAAAAAACTGAGGGACTAGGTCAATAATACAACAATATCTTCGAATAATTTCTTAGCAGTTCGCTTCGTAAGTGCAAAATTTCTATAGTCAATCCACTTGTTGCGCTCAGTCTTCTCTCATCTAAATATACATGTAAGTATATACACAGGTAAATGTCACGCCTTATTTCACGCATGACAATGGAATTTTGCGGGCGCCTTTTCTCCAAATATTTGTAAATATTGACGAAAATTATTGTTAAAGCGCAATATGGAAAGCAAAACAAAGAATCAAGAAAAAATTGAGCAAAAGAGAATCTACGATAGTTGGCTTAACATGAGCTGATACAGAAAAAAGAAGAAGAAAAATACACAAGACAAAATTAATAAAAATTAACAGCGTAATACATTTCAAAACAATATTTGGCGTTTTTTTTCTAAAAGGCAGATTTGAATATATTCAAGTTTAAGATACAAACGTACTTCAAAAATTATTCCAGAAATTAGTTTAGATTTAAATTATGCTTACACTTTTCTTATCTTGTATACTTTATCTTATATCTATATAAGTAATATATTGACGTAGGCCTCAAATCATTTAAAAGCATTGTATAAATATACAATGTTTAAAAGCGCATAAGATTTTTAGTATTTGTCAACAAGTTCTTTATACAATTTTTAATTCACAATAACAAATGCACTATATGGCGTTTTGCAACCCTACCTTCTAGTCATGTGCAAATATTATAAGCGAGATTCGCAATATCGATTATTATCAATTCAAGATATTTTAAGAATTTTAATTATCAGATTTAAACGATTACATCAATATCATATTCTTAATACTTGAAATATAAAACACTATTGTTGCTTATGATCCTATTAGTAATAAGATTTCAGCACCGTTATAGTGGCTTATACAAATATTACCACGGTTATCATAAAATCGATTATTCGGCAAGGAGAAATGATCGGCTACAACGAAGGTATTCGACTAGAAATCGCCAGTCCAATTTGAGATTCGCAGCAAGACGTGTGTGTGAGTCGGGTGGTGGATATTTATTTTGTTTTTTCCATTTGTGTTTCTTGCAAAAGGTTTTCGAAAAGTGCAACGATATTAAAAATATCAAGAAGTATTATTAAAATACGTAACTGTGAAATAGGTGCAAATTCTGCGGCAAAACCAGCGCTTTCTTGCGCCAACGTGCGCTGCTGTGCTGTATGAAGAAAGCGCCCGTCTGTGTCCACATAATCGTCATCATCAATATTGCCATAACGTGCCCGTACGAAAGAGAAAATTTATAAGACTGAAAAAAAGCCATAGGCAGCAAAATTAGCAATTCTTTTTAGTTTATATATTTGTAATACGACGTGAAAGGTGAAACTTGCATACTTCGCTTGAAATTGAAGTGCAGAAAATTACATACGTACAACAAAAAAGGAAAAGAATCTCCATATTAATACTGGGGAATAATCCATTTGATGATGACTACTTTGAAGCAAAAAAGCAACAAGGAAAAATGAAAAGATAATTGAAACGCAAAAAAATAGACCGCTGAAGACAAGACTGCCAAGATAGCGAAAACGACTGAGAAGAAGCAGCAGGAGGGCGTATAAGTATTTACATATGTATTGCTTGAGAATAAGTAAGTGTTAACAAAGTGATTAAAGTGAATCTTAGAAGACAAAAATCGTGTATTTAATAATTTTAATACGCACTACTTGTATATTTATTTAATTTAAATAAAAACGTTTTGTTTCGATTTAGACATTTTTGTTAGATAAAAATTAGAAATGAATGCCTTTTAATACGAATATTTGTATATAAGCCAAATATGTTTTTTTTTTCAACTTAGTCGATATTTTATTATATTTAATATTTAATAACATGTCTAAAAGTGTTAAAAACATGTTAGACAAAGTTATTCACACTGTCGACAACCCTGTCAAAATTTGCAAATTCTTCAACGTGTCTTCGTTTATTTTGGCAATTCACAAGTATTTGTTTTTGTTTCGTCTTTATTAGTTTCTGTGCGAAATTTCTCCATTGTTGTTTTTCTTTTTTGCAATGTTCGAACTTTTTCCCCTTACGCTGCCTGTGGATCCACAGAAACCGAATGTTGCTGGGCATTGTTGGTTAGAGGCCGCTTAACAGTTTCGCAAATGCGAGTGAATTCGTAGCAAATAACGGTTTACATTATCGACAACGTTGTTTTTTTTTTACCATTTCCGCGAGAAGTAAGACGGAACATTTGCATAAAATTTCTTTAGCTGCAACTCTTTAATTTTGCGTTTTCTAATATTATATATATGTTTACACCCTCTACAAGAATGCAAAAATATAAGGAATTCTCGCTTTCAATGAAGCGTGAAGGCCAAAATTAGCAAGTGTCACATTGCATATTGTCATTACGATTCACTTCTTTCATTACATTTTATTTAATTTTTCATTTTGTTAGTGTAAACTAATTGTCTCTTCAATTACAGAAGCCGTATCAGGCGCTTTAAATAACGAGTGAATTATTTTTTCAATTATTAAAAGTGAAAAAATTTTTTCTAAAAAAGTTTTCGCATTTATACAAATGCGAAAGGACTTTGTGACTATTTAAAAAAAAAAAAAAAACATATATATAACGACACAAAAAATATTAAACGAAACGAAACAAATAAAAACTAATCTAACACAACGCATAAGAGAAACAAAACAACTTACTATACAAAGCTTTGAATACTGAAGCTGTAACTGCTATAAAAACAAACACAATGAGTTCTGTTTCCTCAGCGGCGTCTGCGCGGTCAGCCGCCTCAACTACGGACACAGATACCACCAAGCGACTACAGATCACACACGTCGATGCGTTTGGTCCGTACTTGCGCATATACGGCCAAATGAATCCGGACGCAATGGCTGTATTGCGCAATAAAATCCAGGAAGTGTTACGCACATGCCTAGCCATCGATCCGACTTGGCCGGTGCAACGACAACAAGTACCGCTACGCATTGGCACTTTATGCCTTTATAAGAGCACTAAAGGTATAGCACCGGCCGATTTTGAATTTTTGCGCGTACGCATACTGGACGTTATAACTAATAGCGGACAACAGAATGCGACGCAGGGACAAAAACCGCTGGTCAAAGTGGAAGTGGAATTCGTCGACTTCGGCGGCAAGGCGCTCGTAGCCAGTTATGAGGTAAGTGTATGCGTCAGCGAAACTTAAAATATAATATATGCATGCAAATTCGTTAACAAATTCGTCATGCTCTATCTTAAATAAAGTAATGTGTTGTTGGGTAGTTAGTGGGTGGTGTCATCTCTAATGTAGTTATTGATTGTTTTAAAATCTGGTTAATTTAATTAGTATAATGCTAAATAAAAATAATAATTATTCAGTAACATTTCTTCTATTCGTAGCTCCTCTTCCCCAAGCAGCCAGATGTTTTGTCCTCGATGCCCACAATATGCGCGCCATACATCCTATTGGGCATTTGCAAAGATTTCAAACCAGAAGAGCTGGAGGAGATTTCACGCATAATTTTGAGTCAAACACTGGACATATCCATTGAACATGAAGTAAGTGAAACTTTCGCTGCGAAAACTGTTCAATTTATTTTATTTTACTTTACAGTTTAAGCAGTATAAATTCATTACAATGAAATGGAAGGAATTCAATTTTGATGAGTTTTTAATACACCAAAAGAAAATCGGTGCACCTATCGCTAGCGAATTGCTACGTGATAATTTTGCTAAATTTATTAAGCAACAAAATCAAAAGCAGCAACAACAACAACAAACACCAACGCTACCAGCTCAACAGCCACAAAGTCATCATATAGCAACGTCACAGAAGCAACAACAACAACAATTTAAGCAAACCCTACCAATGTACCCGGCTGTCGGCGGCAATGCCAACAACAACAATTACTATGCCATTAATCATAACAACAATGTAGCGGCCGTGAGCGGTGTATACCCAGCTGTTGGACGTTCGCTCGCTGCGCGTTTGCAACAATATCAGTTAGAACAACAACAACAAGTGCAAACGCATTTAGCCATGCAACCACAAATTTTAATGGTAAATATAGAAAAGTAGCTTACGATTTTTAGATATTATTTTAATCTACCCTTTTTATGATCGCGCAGAACTTGCAGCGACCAATACAGCCACGCATGCCACACACCGTCGGCAATTTACGTTCGCTTTATGTGCCTTATGCTGCGCCAGCCTATCAGCAGCAAGCTGCTTACAATGGTTTTCAATCGAAGATTATTGTGCAACCCACAGTCGCCAACGCAATGTCTGGTCTTCCATATACTAATGCTTACAATACGCGCTATCAGCGTCCACAGCC